AGAATAAAACTTTAAAACAAAAAGTAATAGTTAGTTGAGCATATAATAATATTAACCGTATGATATCCATGTTTCAAAATATTAAAATTATTTTTTTAAACATCTTTACAACTTTTAGTAAGAATTGTCAAAAAAAAAATAATAATAATCATAGTCTATGAGATTTAAGAGTTGAATGTGTAAGAGACACAAAGTCCAAGGAGCAAAATGTAATATGCCAAAAGCTTGTTCATTTTTCAAGGCAGTATTCCCCAATCTCAAAGCACCAACGCCTTAAACGATTGTACAGTTTACATCAAAAGTTGTAAAATCATTTGTTTTTGAAGAATTCATACCCAATAAACACGAATAAAGTAACGAATCAGGGTCCGGTCTAAATTGAAGCTGGATAGATTTGAGCGGCGGAAGGTCGCAATATATAACACCGACAACAGTTGTTCTCCACTATTTTTCGCTTCGATCCAGATCTGATCCGTAACGCACACCGGTGAGTGGTTTCTATCTATACACTTCACTGTTCCTGTTCGATTTTTGCTTTTTGCGATTACGTTTTCTCAGAATTGTAGCGAAATCCGGTTTTCATACGACTGTTAGTACTCTATTCGATATCTAGTTTCAAATTCATGGCGGATCTGTACTTCCGTGTGTGTTAGAGCAAATGTTCGCCCTTATTCGTTGATTTATTCGTTTTTTTAAGATGTATGGTGCTGATTTAGGGAATTCGTCATTTGATGCTGTAAATGTATCGGCGACTGGGTCCGTGAATCGTTCTTCTTTTTAAAGAAAAAAGATCGAATTTGTTGTTTGATATCTCGGAATTGAGTATTGTCCTGATGATTTTTTGTTCTTTTTGTCAGAGATCATGGGCCGTGGTGTCAGTAGTGGCGGAGGACAGAGTTCGCTCGACTACCTGTTCGGAAGCGGAGAGCCAAAGCCCACCACAGCCAGGACAGAACCGGTGGCTGCAGCTCCGGTGAACCATGTTCATGTTGCTGCCGCCACCAATGAGCCACCTCCTAAGCCTACAGCCACCGTGCCTCAGCCAGATATCACAAAACAGGTTCCGGCAGGGATTCAGGGTAGCCAGAAAAACAACTATTTCCGAGCTGAAGGACAGAACACCGGAAACTTTCTTACGGTATATATGATTCAATCACTCATTCGTCATTCCATACTTTTTTTTTCACAATTCTTGTTCATCTTTTTTATGTTTTTCAAACGTTAGGATCGACCTTCAACCAAGGTTCATGCAGCACCAGGTGGTGGATCTTCTTTGGGATACCTGTTTGGTGATGGTAGCACTAGCAAATGACATACCAATTACCACCATTGATTCTTAGAAGATAAGAGGTAAGAAGTGTGGTTTGATGTCAATGTAGACTTAGTTATGGTTAAACCAAATCCTGCTTTCCATTTCTTGGTACTTGTTGACTTCAGATTTGTAATATATTTCTCCATCATTCCAATCTTCTTCTCTCTTGTTCTTTGGTTTCATTTGCATTTTGAAATTTATGTTTGTTTAGTTTCTTTAGTTCTGTTTGATTGATTATTTTTTTGCCTATGAGGACACATGTTTGCCATGAGTGTCAAGGACAAAAATTGCGCATCCATGGAGATTACCATGGAGTCCTTGATTCGAGGAAGAATGTGGCAACATGCTAATCTGAGGCCTTTTTTTTTCAATTTGTCTCACAAAATCTGTGTTTCCTTTAAAAGTGGATTTAAAGTTCTATTTTTACGTTATCAGTTTCTCAATGCTGTGATTTGTTGCATACTAATTGTTGCTCTTAAATGATTTCTGAACATAAAACAGAAAATTGGAGAAATTGTCATCCTATTCTTACCAAACAAATTGGAATATTCAGCACAAAAAATATTTCCACTCAGCATTCTTTTTATCGCGTAAATTAATGCAGCAATTCGAGAATTTATATAAAAAACTAGAAGTAGACAAGTAGTGTCAATTCATATCATAAGTAGAAGTCCCACCTAAAATAGACAAAAATCACATATGGTAGCTAAGAAATGTTCACATATGACTTCCTCTTAGTTTAATTCTTTTTTAATAAATCTAATTAATTTATAAATAAATTTAATATTAATAAAAATAAAGAAGTTTCATTAATTCAAAATGAAATAATAATAATCATTAAAACAAAAATAAAGATGGGATAGGGGTTACTTAGATGATAATAATGAAAACAAACATACATACTAGTCTTTGGTCAGTTGTGTTTCCTTACGTGCATTATATTTTATATTAAAATTTTCTTGTATGAACTCAACACTTGCGTCAAAACTATAATTAATTCTTCAATTTCAAGGTCGTTGCCAATGGTTTGAGGTCAAATCTGACGTGAGTATCCGATGAAGTTGTGTAATTTGAGTTAGATTTTTTTACGGTTTTAAAGAATGAGACTAAAGATGGTGTACCTGTTTTTTTTAATATAATGTTGGGGATGAATTAAATCCATTTTTTTTAATATAATGTTGAGGGATGAATTAATTTGGAAAGCTTGTGCTTAGAAATTGGAGCATGTATGTTTATCTAAAGGTATGTGCTCAAACTTGCAACGTGAACTTTAGGTTGAAAGTCGTCTCTTCATATATGCATGTTCATTAATATTACAAGGCTTGTCTATGTGAGTGAAAATTTTGACATTTCAAGAAACTCAAACGTGGCTTCGAATGCACTCATGAATCCAAAGGGACAAATGGTTTGTAATATTGGCAAATGAACTCTATGTATATATTATCCTTAGGTAGTCAAAATCAGTTGATGGTTTAATACGTAAAATGCAGATTCTCCGGTGTTTGCAATGTCTAATATTGTAATAGGAAAAATCAATTTTCTATACATTTTTATTTATACATGAGTTTACATCATTTAAGTTAGTCCATGATCACACTAAATAAGTTCATGAATATCATTGTGATTTTAGTGTCATGAAAACCTTGGGCTAAAACAGTTGGATTGCTTCTAATATGGCAACATGAGAAACAATTCCATCACGCTTCTTGAGCTCCATAATCCTTCTAAAATGTCTTAAATCTAGTTTTAATATGTTTTTTTTTTCATTGTTGATAAACTGGTTAAAATGGTTTTAGCAATAGTAAATATGTTGGTTAAAACTGATTTTGGAAAAACACGAAATTGTTATAAGATTGTTTTTAACAAATTGTATAAAACATAAATCAAAATGTCAAATAATCTTTAAAAAAAATGTTCCAAAACTACTGTACCCTCATATAATGGGCCGTAGGATGGCTTAGCGTGAGCTGTCCAACGAGTGTGGTTTACTCTTTACCATTCCATTCCACACTAAGGAATTTCTTTGAGATCATGGTGGTTGATGTATTCTCCTCACTATGGTCACATAATTTGATAATGCTTGAGTTGAACTAATAAATATATGTGGAATAGTTGTTTCTTAATTCATGTCAACTCAAAGAACATGAATTGCAAGCACATATCTAATAACTTCAATTATACGCTATAATGAGTAAAATAAAGAATCAAAGTGCAGAAATTTTGATAGTAGACCATCTGGTATACCATGGACGAATCACTTCGTGGTCTAACTGCCTACAGACAACGGCTGTGCACCCCAGCCCGGCCGTTTGTGGTTCATCGCTGTCTTGGTGTATCGTGGTGGGGAGGACAAGATGCAACAACCAATAGGATTTTGCTTCATATTTGACCGGGCATGTAGCCGTTGAATTGCTAATTTAAAAAAAAAAAAAAACAAAAAACAAATAAACAAACAAACAATTTTTTTAAACAAAATTTTACCTATAAAAACCACACTATACACTCATATTTCTTACACTATTCTTTTCTTTCAAGTGTTATTGATCATTTTGGAGAGAAATTTGATCGATATGTCCACATTCAATAAACCAAGGTGGAGATGTTAAGTCGGGTGAATCAAAAAATGATAAAAGCGCAAACATCATTCCAAGAGACGCAAACCGATATGGAAATTTTAAAGATGAAAGCGGACGATCTCGACGGCGAAAATTTGAAGATTTTTTCGCGATGAAAAAGTCCGTTCGAGCCTGATATAAGAATAGGGGTAGTTTTTTAGTTATGTTTGGTATTTTTAGGTGTTTTATTTTTATTGTTATTTTTATTTTTTATTTTAATTAATGTAATTTTTTTAATGTAATGTGATATTTTAGTTTAATGAAAAACTAGTGTTAAAAAAATTATATGTTTTTTTTTATGTATTTTTGAATTAAATTTAATTAAAAAATGAGATGAAAGAATGTGTTTAGTGGTAGGTATCTCATTGTTAGTAGTAAGGAATGTAATGATGATGTGACACTCACTACTATAATGACTAGTTGTGAATATAACGAATGGTCTTACATGTTATCATCTATCTTCACAGTTGAAAATGAAGAACTAGTATTAAAAAAATTATACGTTTTTTTATGTATTTTTGAATTAAATTTAATTAAAAATTGAGTTGAAATGTGGTATTTTAGTTTAATGAAAAACTAGTGTTAAAAAAATTATATGTTTTTTTATGTATTTTTGAATTAAATTTAATTAAAAAACGAAATGAAATAATGTGTTTAGTGGTAGGTATCTCATTGTTAGTAGTAGGGAATGTAGTGATGATGTGACTCTCACCACTATAATTACTAGTGGTGAATATAACGAATGGTCTTACATGTTATCATCTGTCTTCACAGTTGAAAATGAAAAACTAGTATTAAAAAAATTATATGTTTTTTTATGTATTTTTGAATTAAATTTAATTAAAAAATGAGATGAAATGTGGTATTTTAGTTTAATGTAAAACTAGTATTAAAAAAATTATATGTTTTTTTATGTATTTTTGAATTAAATTTAATTAAAAAATGAGATGAAATGATATGTTTAATGGTAGATATCTCATAGTTAATAGTAGGGAATCTAATGATGATGTGACCACCCAACACTATAATGACTAGTGGTAAATATAACAAATGGTCTTACGTGTTATCATCATTCTTCACAATTGAAAATGAAATCACAATGAATATCCGATGTCATTTTTCTTTGTCTTGGAACTCGGGCATTCTTTAACGAACTCTTAATTCACCGAATATTCCAACGATTCTCGAATCACTTTGAATTAACCTACAAATCAAGCATATGGGGTAATCTATTTTTCACATTTTGATGATGATCTTTTGGTGTGAATGAATCTTCAAAGCTCGTACACTCATTTACAATATTTTGGACTCAAAATATTTCATCATGGTGCATCATATCTATGTGACCATTCTAAAGGAAATCAACAATATAAACTTTAGAGATGCTTAACTTTGATGTATATATAAAAAGGGCAAATCTTTTTCCAGAAATTGCTCAAACAAAATTTGTCTCGATTCGTGATATATATATATATATATATATATATATATATATATATATATATATATATATATATATATATATATATATATATAGGGTTAGGTTATTTTGTTTTTACTAATTATTGTGTGCCAGAATGCACAGATCTGGACCAACGGATGAAATTAATCAATGGACATGATTTGAGGGTGTATGATATTACAATGGGATAACATGTACCATATAATCACACAAATTTTGGCAAAAGGGTATTTTGGACAATTAACTACATTTATAAAAGGAAATTTCGTATTTTTAGGGATAATTAATTCTCCTAATTTTAAAAATCTGAATTTTTTTAATTAATTTAATTTTAATTCTAACGTAATTTGTATACATAACCGATTTTATTTTGTTAGAATATTTTTTTTTGTTAGAATGATGTTCTTTCAGAATTTTATTCTATTAGAATATTATTGAAGAATAACAACATTCTTGAATCCGAGGTTGAAAAATAACAACATTCTAATATATTCGTATACATCCAAACTTAAATACAAATTCATACATATTCTTACAGATTAAAAGCCTTATACATTTTAATATAATTATACATATTCTAAAAGAATATCAACAAAAATGAATAAATTCTTAAAAAATAACAACATTCTAAAGATGTGAGTATGATCAAACTTTATTCATTCTTCAAGTTATTCCTATTAGGTCTTCATAGCATTCTTCCAGCCATTCCTATCACAAAATACAACAAAAACTAATAATGATTAAAAACATGTTACTTGCAATTAACTATCACTTTATATATTCTAGCAGAATACATAGAATATGACAGAATACATACAAAAAGAATAATAGGCAATCCAAGAGAAATATCTATTACAAAAAAAAAAGACAATCCAAGAGAAACATCTATTACAAAAAAAAAAAAAAAAAGATTAACAGGTAAACAAAAATTCTAAAAGAATCATTAAATATAAAGTGTAGTTACCATTTAGTTCTGATAGAATATATATATATATATATATATATATATATATATATATATATATATATATATATATATATATATATATATATATATATATATATATGCAATTACCATTTATAGCATCATACAATTACCCATTACTATTGTGTAACCAAAATATATTATAAAAATTTTAACAAACATTCTTAAAGAATCATTAAACCTAAAGTGTAATTATCATTTTAAATTCTAACCGAGTGCATTCTAACATAATACACTATACAAAGCATAATGTATTCTTACAAAATCTACTATATTGTGTATTTGATAGTTCCTAAAAAAATCAGTATTTTGTTAGAATACATTGTATAATAACTTGCAGTAACTCAGCTATATATCACTTTTCATTTCATCAATAAGCTAATTAAGCAAGCAATGTTCAGGGAAAATCAGAACCCCAAATGAAAAACAAAACCTCAAGTATATTTCAATCAATTTAGGAATTAAGGTTTAATTCTGACCTGATTACTTGCAATAACCTCCGCCACAGGCATTGTAGTCTTCTTCAACTGCAGTTGTCAAATAAACCATAGTGAAATCAGCAACATCAAACGACTTCTCCTTCATCGCTTTAACGATGTCATCTTTGTTTAGCATGGTGCGGCGGATGGGCGGGCGGTTACAGCGCTGATCGCGAGAGAAGTATTTGATGTCGAACACGGTTTCTGGATCGGAGGTCGCGAGAGAAGTTGAAGGAACCAATCCTTTATAAAGAGAAAAGAATCCTTCTGTTTGAATGATATGGCGAAAAGCTCCTATCACACCTCCCAATGATTCACCTCCAGGCGCCACTAACTTTGTTCGAATCTGTTAGATCCCACGATGACTTTTATTATATAAATAAAAAAATTAATAAATGGGAAGAAAGAGTTGATGGAATTTAGTCAATTTACAGTGTCGAGTGGTAAGCAAAGAATGCTAGCAGTCATGCCGGCGCCAGCACCGACGAAGAGTCGTTCAAAATTTGTTGTTTCTTGATTTCCGGTTAACCGGAGAAGTTGCTTTCTATAGGAATCGTATGCACAAAAATTCAGGGCTTTAAATGGAGCTGTGCGAAGAATGTTAACGAAGTTTCCCTTCCAAAACCCTTTTAAACCTTGAGAAGAAA